ATTAGGTCACCGGTACCCTACCCTAGCCACTTAAACCTCGGTTAGGGTTTTCTTAGGGTTTTGTAGGGTTTAGGGTTCCTCAAAACCCCCCTACTTCCCCGTCCTCTTTGGGCACCCTGGACCCGAACCACCCCTCCCCCTTTGACGGCGCCCGTGCTAGCCTTGCTAGCGCCGTTCGCCGCTTTCTACCGCGGACTTCCCCCTACGCCCTCCGCTCACGCGGACCTCTTCTGGCCCCCTCCAGACTGGTCCGTCATCTCCCCATGGCCGACGGTGCATCACACACCGCCGACACGGCGATGCTCCACACCCGTGCCGGCGGACCAGGGCCATCAGCCCCAGGGGGATCTACACACCCTCCTCACCTCCCTCCTTGCGCCCATCCAGGCGCAACTCGCGACCCTTGCGCCCATCCAGGCGCAACTTGCGACCCTCGCACCCTTACAGGCGCAGGTGGCGACCCTTGCCGCCGGCATGCAGCAACTCAAGGATGCTGCATGTCCGTCATCTCCTGGCTCCCAGTCCGGGTCCCCCGTCCTCCGACAGGGTGGCCACGACGGAGCTTCGTCCTCCGTTGCCCCTGACCCGACCATCTTGGTGACTGTCCACACCCCTAGCACGACGGCCGCCACGAGCCAGGCCCCCCCTTAGTCTACGGGCGCACCCGCCCAGATCCCGGTCACTACGGCCATAGTACAACAACCTGCTACCATGGTCTCAGCTTTTCCGGGTGCCCCGCTTCTCCCTCCCTTTCGCACGACCGCAGCGCCACCTGCCTCTCCCCCCTCTGGGATGCCCCGCGCCGCTTGTGCGTCCACCCCCTTCACTCTTCCTCCTGCCACCCCTCGATCGACCTACGTTCGAGGTCTCGCGGACGAAATTGCCCAGCTCCGGGCCGACCTCGCCCTCTTACGCCTTCAGCCACCCCCACCCTCACAGGTGGCCGCGCCTTCGGGCGCACCCCCTACCTCCTCTACCCTTCCTCCCATGCAGGCTCGCTTTCTGCGCCCTGCACCCTATACAACTCCTTCCTACCTTCTTCCTACTCCCACGGTTGCTGCAACCTCTTCTACGTAGCACCCTCGCAGCCTGCCGCTGTTGCCACCGCCGCTCCCCCATGCGGCCCGGGCGCACAGTCAGTTGCGCCCCTTTCTCCAGGACCTGCGCCGACTTACTCAGCCGTGGCACAGGCCTCCGCTCCTTGATCCCCTCGCCGCCAAAACGGTGGCGCACCACTCATCCGCTTGTTGGACATTGCCTTGTATGACGGTACAGGTATACGCGTGTCTCGGTGGCTGCAGTCTGCCACCCGCACACTCCAGCTCATGGACGTCATACCCGAGACGTGGGTGGGTCACCTCTCCACACGCTTGCATGGCGGTCTTTTCGAGGCCAGGGAGGATTTCTATGCCTACTCCCTTCGTGAGGGTTGGACTCCGACCTTCGTGGATTTCCAGGCGTTCCTCGAGGATCGCTTCGGAGCCCGGTACAACGTGACTAATGCCTTCGAGCGTGTCGTCACTACACGCTGGTCCGTCTCTGGTGGCGCTGCCGGCCTGGATCGCCACATCCAGGTCTTTCAGGACGCCCGCCTCGTTTGCGACGTGGCGTTCCTCCCCGAGGCTGCCCTTATCGATCGTTTCTTGGCCAGCCTTCCGCTCGAGTACCGCTCCGAGCTATGGCGGTACGAGTTCACATCAGCCCCACAGGCTTACGAGGCCGCCAGGGACCACCAGTGGATGCGAGCCCGTCTTCACCCCGCCTCCTCCTCCCAGCCCCATCGCACGGCCTACGCCTCCTCCTCCTCTCATCGCACTTCCCAGCGCCGTTCCCCTTTCCGCGGTCGCCCCCGCCGTTCCACGCAGCAGGGCCGCCACTTCTCGCGCCGCTTCAGCGCGCTGGAGTATGGTAAGCAGGACGCTGTTGCCCCACTGTCACCTGAGGGCGACCACAGCAACGACGTCGATCTCTGCGAGGCCGTCCACTATCACTTGGAGGACTCTACCCTCCCTGCAGCTGAGCGCCTTCAGCTCGCGCTCTCCGCCCTCTCTCGGGCACGCAGCCGCCCCGGTCACGCTGGCGCGTCGCCCCCCGAGGTCCCTCATGAGGACCTCCCTCAGGGCTTCGTCCCTCCTCGTGGTGTCCTTTCCGCTGAGGAGCGCGCGGCTATTTTGGGCCGGCGTGGGTGTTTGCGCTGCCGCTTGGACGGTCATACCTCCTCGCGGTGCCCTTACACTACCGCCCTCGACCGCCACTACGCTGACCTTTCTCGTCAGCGTCGTGCTCAGTCCCCCCCCGGCGCCTCAAGTCCCCACGACGCCTCCTAGCCACGGTGCAGTGTACACCTGCGCCCTCCTCAGTAGTGGGCTTCCCGACACCTCCGTCGCGGTTCGCCCCTCTCGCTACTGGAGTTGCGGTATCGCAGGACTCGACAAAGTGTACTCAGCCCTCTGTCGCAGTACCGTCTGCGCCTCCGCAGGCCACCGTCTCGCCTCCTTCCCCGCCGCGACTACCGACGCGTCGAGCCATTCGCTCATCCCGTTGCAGCGAGCAGCTTACTACTCGCGAGGACGTTGTGTCCTCTCTTCTAGATTTGAGCATGCTCCAGGCTCGTCAGGAGCGACTCACCCTCCATGTCGCTGCACTGCGTCGCCTTCTCGCCATCCTCTCTGACCCTGATCGCACCCTCCCGATCATCCCAGTACGGCTCGGGACCTCCACGAGGGTGTACTCAGCGCTGTGGGATTCCGGTTCTCAGGGCGACTTCATTCACCCATGCATGGTGAAGGAAGCCCGCTTACCCACGACAGGGTCTCCGACTCCCATCTCCGTTACCCTAGGGGATGACAAGACCCAGCGCTTCTTCGATCAGACGGTCACCGACCTCCCCTTCTTCCTCACTCTCGAGCCGACTGATCGTTCCCCGGCGTCTCGTCACCACCGCTCCTCTGCACATTTCGATGTGATGGAGACGGGGTACGACTTCATTCTCGGCACTCCGTGGTCTCGTCGGTTCCGCAGCACCGAGGCCGATTGGGCGACCAACACTCTCGTTCTCAAAACGAAGTGTGGACAGACGTATCGCGTACCTTTCATAGGTACCACGGCGACACCACGCCCCGATCCTCCTCCCCCGGAGCCTTCAATGCCCACACCATCTCCCTCTATCACTGTCACCTCGCCTCGGCAGTTCGCTCACTTCATTCGACAGAACGACGTCACCTTCTTTATGGTGGACGAGACGGATCTCTTACACTATGATCCACGCTGTCCCAACGCCGAGCTCATCCCTCTGGAGCCAGATCCTCCCTCTATCTCCATGGCTCCCATATCTACTTCCGTCCCTCCGCCGTCCGTCGAGTCCATCCCGTCGTCGTGCACTGACGCTGACGTTGAGGAACTCGCACGATATACGGCTGACTTGGAGCCCGCAGTTCGTGACCTCATCCGAGAGTACCACGACGTTTTCCCATCGTCGTTCTCGTACGCCGACATCCCACATATGCATGACGTCGAGCACTCCATTCAACTTGTGCCTGACTATCGTGTTCACCACCAGCCACCCTACAGACTCTCGATCCCCAAGGCCACCGAACTCAAGCGTCAGCTTGAGGAGCTCCTGAGACTGGGTTTCATTAAACCCAGCAACTCCCCGTGGCGAGCCTCCGTCCTCTTTGCTCGCAAAGCGGACAGAACTCTCCGTCTCTGCATCGACTATCGCGGTCTCAACCGCTACACGGTTAAGAACAGCTACCCCATGCCTCGTTCCGATGAGCTGTTCGACCGCCTAGCAGGCAACCGCTTCTTTACGAAGATTGATCTTCGTAGCGGTTAGCATCAGATCCGCGTCGCTGCAGCCGACCAGCCGAAGACCGCGTTTTGATCGTGATTCAGTCACTACGAGTTCTCGGTGATGCCATTCGGCCTCATTAATGCTCCCGCTACCTTTCAGAGGGCGATAAACGACATCTTTAGGGACATCCTGGAGCAGTATGTTCTCGTCTACCTCGACGATATCCTGGTCTACAGTCGTCCCCTTGAGGAGCACCTCAGACATGGCTTATATGCCAAGCTGAGCAAGCGCCGCTTTGCCCAGCACAAAGTGGATTTCTTAGCACACTACGTGTCTGACCAGGGTCTCCACATGGACGACGCGAAGATCACTGCTATTGCGGAGTGGCCCGCTCCCACATCCGCCAAGGAGCTTCGCTGCTTCCTAGACCTGACCAGCTACTACAGTAACTTCATCCGGGGATACGCTAGGTATTCCTACGTCCTTACCTCCACCCTCCTCCGGAAGAACCCACCCTGGGTTTGGACACCCCTCCACGAGGACGCCTTCTGCGCCCTCAAGAAGGCGGTGACATGCGCACCGGTTCTTCACCTACCTGATTTTGACCGCCCTTTTATCCTTACCACCGATGCGTCAGACTTCGCTGTAGGAGCAGTGCTTTCTCAGGTCTTCCCCTCCTCTCCTGATTCCTCTCATCCTCGTATCCCTCGCTTCCCACCACCTACCCCTACCACTACTTCCCCACTGACGCCTACTCGTCCAGCTACTGACGAGCCTTCTATTGACTATTCTCCTACCATCGCCGAGGACGGCACTGTCAAGTCTCGCTCGGGTGATTGTCCAATAGCCTTCTACTCCCGTCAGCTCCTGCCCACCGAGATAAACTACATTGCTGATGAACGTGAGGTTCTCGCAGTAGTTTATGSCGCTCGGCACTGGCGTCACTACCTGAACGGGGCACCATTCACGGTGCGCACGGACAACTCTGTTGTCCAGGCTTTTCTGACAAAACCGAAGCTCACTCCTCGACAGGCTCGCTGGTGGCGCGACCTATCCGAGTTTAGTTTCACCACTSAGCACATCAAGGGTGAGACTAATCGGGTCGCAGATGCCCTATCCCGRCGCCCTGACCACGACCAGGAGCACATCCAGCTCTCTTCCATCTTGGTCACCACCGTCCACCACTCGGTGATCGACGAGTTTCGCACTCAGTACCGCCAATGCCCTGACTATCGCGACATCCACGCGACCCTTCGGAGTTGCAAGACCGTCCCGAACTACTGTCTCGGGGACAACGGTCTTGTGTACTGGCACGGTTCACAGGGCACCAGAGAGCCTCGTATTTGCATTCCCTCCACTGGACAGCTACGTGTCCGAGCAGTAGCAGATTTTCATGACCAGGCAGTTGTCGGTCATATGGGCTTCCACAAGACGTTGGCTCGTGTGAGCCGCCTGTCGTCTGGCCGAAGCGCAAGGACTTTGTGAAGGCCTACGTCGCAGAGTGTCCCACCTGTCCGGAGGTGAACAGTGTGAACCACCTGCCTTATGGTTTGCTCCAGCCTCTTCCTATCCCTGAGGGTCGTTGGCACTCCATCTCGATGGACTTTATTGGTCCTCTTCGTCCTCCGACCCCTCGCGGTCATGATGCTATCCTGGTCGTCGTCGACCGCTTCACGAAGCGTGCACGCTTTGTTCCGTGCCGCTATGCCATCAGTGCACGTGAGGTCGTTGACATCGTGTTTGACCGAGTCGTGCGTGACCACGGCTTACCTCTGAGCATCATATATGATCGTGACCCGCGTTTTACCAGCCGATTCTGGCGACGGCTCCACGAGGTTTACGACACCCATCTCCGCTTCTCCTCGTCTTACCATCCTCAGACTGATGGTCAGACCGAGATCACGAACATGAATCTCGGAGATATTCTTCGAAAGATTGTTCGTGACGACCAGCAGTGGGATCTTCATCTTGCCCACGTGGAGATAGCCTACAACCACGCCGTCTCGCCAGCCACGGGGATGTCGCCTTACTATTGCGACCTCGGCTATCACCCTCGTGTTCTCGCGGACTTCCTTCGACCGTCCCAGCTGCACCCCGACACGAGTTGTCCCGCGCTGGACGATTGGGTTGCACACATGACGCCGATCATGAAGACCGCACATGAGTACATAGCCGCTTCCCAGACTCGCATGGCAGCACGTGCGAACCGATCGAGGATGGATCATCCATTCAAAGTCGGTGATGATGTGCTTATCGACGCCCGCCACTTACAGCTCGAAGCGGACACGCTTCGCAGGTTTTGGCGTCGCTTTTTTAGTGCCTGCCGCATCCTCCAGGTCGTCGGTTTTGATACGGCATCTAGCCCGGTCAGCTTTCGTGTGAAGCTGCCCGACTACCTACGCCAGGCTCGTGTGCATGATGTCTACCACGTCTCGTTACTGCGTCCTTACCGCAGACCGTCTGAGCGTTTCGCTAGACGACCATACGAGCGCCCTCCACCCATTATGGTGGACGACCACAAGGAGTTCTTCGTTTTCGACATCATTGGTCGCCGAGTCACCGACGACAACCCTCCCCACGTTGAGTATCTTGTACGTTGGAAGGGTTACCCTGATGAGGAGGCTACCTGGGAGCCCCTCGAGCACTTGCAGCACGCTCGCATGTTGGTGCGTGCTTATGACCGTGCTCATCGTGCTGGATTCACTGCTCCTCCTCAGCCCACTGACCCTCCTCCTTCTCCCCCGGGTGAGGAGACCGCTGAAGTCGAGCCTGCTCCATCTGAGGCAGACCTTCAGCAGCAGCCAGATGATTTTGAGCGTCCACAGCGCACTCGTCGTCGTCCTGCTCAATACGACGATTGACTCTGACTTACCTTCCCACGTCCTTGACTTCTCAGTACTCCATCCACTCCAGTTTTGCTACTTCGGCTCGTCGACGTTGCGGCTCTTCCTCGACGGCATTCCGGACTTCTCATCGTGAACGTCATCGGCAGCTTCATGGACTTCGTCACGCTCAACTCTGCCTACTTCAGACGTCGCCACTCTCTTACCACTTTACCCTGTACAGTACCCTGCTTGTGTCGCATGATGGTCTCCCTTTAGCCCGGTTCCTCTTAGTTGGGCTCTCCCTTGGTATACGCATAGGCATTGGGACCGTAGCGTTGCCCTGGCTTCCCACCTTACGGATCTAGCTCCGACTTCCCTCACTTTATGAGTCATTTGCATGATTCCCTTACCCATCATCTTTCTACCCTTTGTCGGCCCTCACGTCATAGTTAGGCAGCCCCGCATGCTTCATCTAGGTGTGCCCAGTATACCTGGCTCCCTTGTTCCCTTGCATGGTCGACCCTCCATAGCGGTCACCCCTTAGTCGAGCATTACCCGCCCTGATGGTCTATCTGTTAGGGTCATTGGTT